TTGGTGAGAGTGTGTAGTTCGGTTTTTTGGTGTTGTTCATCGGCTAAGCATTTTGTTCTGGAGATGAGTGTCTTGGCTACGGAATTGATCTCTACTATCATCTGTAAATCTGTATCCCCTTCCTTTCAAAAAAGCAAAATGCTCCTTTTAAAGGACATACATTCCTTTACACATAGTAAAGTAGCAATTGGACTTTACCATTTATCAAAAATACTTTATATTTTAGACACCTTTTCAATGTCAGCTACCCAGAGCAAAAGGGGGTCTGGCAATCTATAAATTGCATCAATCAATCAATCTTACAGCCTTCTTTATTGTTGTTTCCAAGGTGGTTTTACTGGCTAGTTATGCATCTTAATTCCACCAACAACATCTGTGATATGAACTATTATTAAGCAGGTGAAACTGATGAGCTAAGTGCAATCAAAGTAAAGTTATAGCTGTACTGTTATCCACTGTCTGTTTTTTTCATATTTCATAATTGCAATGGTTTGTACGTGGAGGTTGCCTTCAAAATTAATTTAGTTTCAAATGTTTCAATTTTATTTATCTAATGGATTTATATTGCCCATGATGACTCAAGGTGGCTTACAAGGTGTAAAACCACATTTAAAACAGTATAACTATTAAAAAGAATCAAATAATATAATAAAATCACTCCCAACCTCCCACTCCAGCGACAGCAGATCACACAAGCCATTTAATGGGTTCCATCCTGTTCTGGGTTCCCCAAACCCGCTGGCAGAACCAGGTCTTCAGTGCATTCCAGAAGAGAATTAGAGTGGGGGCCATTCTAATCTCTGGGGGAATTATGTTCCAGAGAGAGGGAGCCACCACAGAGAAGCGCTTCTTCTGGGTCCCACCAGGTATATCTCCCTTGGGGATGGGACCCGCAACATTCCCTGCCTTCCCGTTCTGATGGGTCGGATAGATGTAACCGGCAAGAGACGGTCGCTCAGATAACCTGGTCCCAAGCCAACAAGAGGTTTAAAGGTGACAACTAGCACCTTGAATTGCACTTGGAAGCAAACTGGCAGCCAATGCAGCTCCCGCAGGAGAGGTGATACATATGCACACCAGGGTCTGCACAAAACAGGGCATTTTGCACCAATTGAAGCCTCTGGATGCTCTTTAAGGGCAGCCCCATGTAGAGTGCATTGCAATAGTCAAGACGGGAAGTGACTAAGGTATGAGTGACTATGAGTAGGGATTGTTGGTCCAGGAAAGAGCATAACTCGCGCACAAACCACAGTTGTGCAAAGGCCCTCCTGGCCACAACCATCACCTGCTCTTTAAGCAGGAGATGTGAGTCCAGGAGAACTCCCAGATTATGCACAGGGTCTGTTTGGGGTAGTGCCACCCCAGCCAGGACCAAAGATGGCAATTCTCCCTGAGCCAACAAATCCCAGAGCCACTAAGTCTTGCCAGGGTTTAGTTTCAACCTGTTGCTCCCCATCCAGCCCTTAACAGCCTCTACGCACTGCAAGAGGGAGGACACAGCATCACTTAACTCACCACGGGCCGAGACATATAGCTGAGTATCATCAGCATATTGGTGATACCTCAGTCCATGGTGACGGATGATCTCACCCAAAGGCTTCATATGAACGTTGAACAGGAGTGGAGAAAGTATCGAATTCTGCGGCACCCGGCAAAGCAGTGGGTGAGGACTGGATCTCTCCCCTCATATCAACACTGTGAGCGGCCGCTGAGGAAGGAAGTGAACCACAAGGCCTCCCACTCCCATCCCAATGCCGCTCTAAGAGAAAACCATGGTCAATGGTATTGAAAGCCAGCTCCTGCCAGAGATCATCCAAAAGTGTGAACAATGCCATTTCTGTCCCAAACTCAGGCCTGAATTTTGAATGGTAGGGGTCGAGATAATCCATTTCATCCAGAAACCTCTGGAGCTGCAGTGCAACCATCTTCTTAACAACCTTCCCCCAAAAGGGGAGATTAGAGACAGGTCGGAAATTATCCAACCGGGTGGAGTCCAGCGATGGCTTCTTAAGAAGAGGGTGGACCACTCCCTACCCTCTCCTGTAGGGAAGCATTAATCACTGCCAGATTCCACCCACCTGTCACCTCCTGGGAAGCTTTTACAAGCCAGGAGGGACATGGGTCTAAAACACAGGTGCTTGCGTGCATACTCCCTAGGATCCTGTCCACTTCCTTGGGGGGCAACAGGGTCAAACTGTTCCCAGATAACAGGGCAAGAACCTGCCTCAGAAGCTTCCACTGGATCAGCAGCCATGCTGGCATCTAACTGGGAACGGAGTCGAGTGGTTTTGTCTTCCAGAAAATCTGCAAATTCCTCAGCGTGTCCCTTCAGGTGAACCTCAATCTCCTCCTTCCCCAGAAGGAGGCGGCTCACCTTAAAGAGGGTTACTGGGCGATTATCTGCACACGCAATTAGTGTGGTGAAGTATTTACATCTCGCCTCATGAATATCCACAAGATAGGCTCTTACCTATGTTCAATCGAGTTCATCCTTTGTTTGCTGCCAGCAGCACTCTAGGCGTTTCCTCTCAGTTCCTCTGTATACCACGGGGCACAGAGGGGTCTACAGGCGAGGAGAGGTCGCATGGGCGCAATCCTATCCAGAGCCTCAGTCATCTTCCTATTCCAAACAGTAACTAAGAGCTCGGCTGGACTGCACAGTAGATCTGCAGTTATAACCCCCAGCTCCTCCTGGAACCCATCCGATCCATTAGTCGAAGGGGGAGAACCAATCTAATAGGTCTTGCCTCCCTGTGGGAGGGAGGGGATACAGCTCTTAAGAAACTCATTGCCACCAGACTGTGATCCAATCATGACAAGGGGACCAAGGACAGGTCCACCAATTCCAGATCACATAGGCAAATAACAGCTATATAGATAACATTGAAAATGATCAACTGGAACATATTAATATAATTTATAACCCATTTTTAAGAAGTATTAGATACAATGACTTCAATAAATTACAAGAATATCCAAAATATCTACATCCTATTTTCTAACTAAAAGCTTTTCATATGTGAAAATTAACAGATTTTATGGTAGAGTTTCAGAAGTCTTTTTTCTGGCTGTCCCCTCAATCCATTACAGTAAAGAACATTAGAGGCTAAACTGCTTTTATTGGTGGTTCTCAATCTGGTAATGTACTTCTCAAAAAGTCTTTTTTAAGAGTTTCTGAGTAGTTAGTATTTGGAAGTTACATCTAATTTTCATCTTAAAATTAGAGGAAAATTAATCTGAGAAAGTTGTTGTTTTTTCACATAATTAAGACTGATTTGAATATTACTATCTGAATACATACATTTTTGCAAAGTCTTGAACACTTGTTTTCTGTTCTCGCTTAGCAAGTAATTTCTTTGAAAATTCATACTGTAAAATGAACATCAAAATAAAGTTATATAAAATTTAGAGATTATTTTTGTTTTAAAAGCAATTCATATTCTTAAAAAAAAACTAGAGGAGAGACTTCTGCGTTGGTATTGTGGCGAGACAGCTGAGGGTAAGTGGAGCTCTGTGGAACCCAGCTGATTCCTTTCCGCTTGGAGGCCCCAAGAGGCCAAAGTCATCCTGGAGGGGTGGCGAAGATAGGAGGGACACCTTGTCAATTGCGGGGTGACAGTGGATCCAAGGGTACTTGAAGAAGAGACTGCTATTATGGTCCAACCCAAGCTGTGATAACCAAAAGACAAAGCACTAGCTAATGAAAGATGAGCAGAGTACTGGAACTGAGTGAGGATTTTCCCAATGTCTACCTTGGAGATTTATTCCTGAATGAAGAGACTATTTGAAATTTAAGACTCTTTAAAGACAAGAGGAAGGGATTTCACTCCCACCTCTAAAAAGAAGTGGTGAGTTATTATGTAAAGAGACAGATGACAGATCCAAAAAATAATCAGAATTTTAATAGGAGAATATTGAAGTAAATCATAAAGAAAAAAACCAGACTGGAAGCTATAATAATCTGAAAAGTAACTTAAAATATTAGAAATACTTTTTTATTTGAATATCTGGAAAAAAGTGAACTATTAGATAAATTAAGCTTTCACTGTAGAAGCTGGAAGCTAAAGCTGGGACATCTGGTGGAAAAAGTTATTAAACAGATACAAGTGAACTTGGGAAATATGAAAGAAGAAAAAATATTTAGAATAGATAAGTGGACTGGAGACAAAACAGCTGCAAGGTCATTCTATTTGTGGTTTGGGGACAGAGGGTGAGCTTTTGAAGATCTTTGAACTTTTGTGTATTATAAACATTGCTGATGTTGTGGAATTATTTTGAACTGTTTTGAATCTGAACAGCTTTTTGCTTCTTTGACCTTTTTCTATTACTGAGAGTGGGGAATTTGGTGGGCCATTTTGGATTACAAACATTGTTTGGTAGAACATTCTGAGAGGTAAAAGAAGAGAAGTGAAACAATATACATAAACTTGGACAAGATGCTGAAAGGAAAAATGGATTATAAAATTCCTGATTCTAATTTATTTCTAATAGACTTAATATTTTAATATTGGAATTAATATAAGGTTGAAATAATTATAATATGGTACTGATTACAAAATAGATTATAGACTGATAATAAAAGAAAAGGAAGTGGGGGGAAATGAATGCTCCAAATCTAACTAAAATTGGAAAGAAAGCACCTTCTACACTGATATCTGCAGCCCATCAAACCAAAGATCAATAGACACAATGTTACAAGAAGAAAAAACCAAATACAGTCGAACCTCTGGTCATGACCATAATTCGTTCCATAACTTTCGTGATTTCTTTGTCTTCTAATGTTTTGTCTTTGGGAGTTTCTGGATTAGGGGTCGTGTTTGATCACCACCCGAGTATGTGTTTGTGACCAGATTAAAAAATTTTGTGAATTTTTTGGTTGGAACCCGATTTGATTGTGGTCAGAAGCGTTCATGACCAGAAGATTTACTATACTTTCCAAAAAGAAATATAATCAGTGCTTCAATCTATTCAAGAAGCTATTGTTTCACAGAAAGAGGAAGCAAGGAAGAATCATAATGAGATGAAGGGTGACTTGGGGGAGGATGAAAGAAGAGATTTAGAATACGGACATGAGACTAGGGAATTTTCAACAAATGATAACAAAAAATGAACAAAGGATTCAGAAAATAGAAAACAAATCGGAAGAAACCAAGAAAAAAAATGGAGGAAATAAAATCAAAAGCTGACACAAGCAAATAAGAACTTAGAGGGGACCTTTATAATCTTAGAAAAGGAGAAGGCAGCCCAACTTTCTAAGATTTCAAAATATAGTAGGATAAGGAAGACCTCCCAGAAGTGATGATAGAGTTATTGGCAAGTCTTTAGGGATAGGAAAGCAAAAGCTGGAGGGGAGATATATGTATGTAGAATAAACGTGAGTTTTGCAAGAAGAGGGAACACTTGTTGATCAGAAAGGTCAGCAATTTGAACCCCTAGAGTGAGCTGAAGTACTTACCCCAGCTTCTGCCAACCTAGCAATTTGAAGCATGTAAAAATGCAAGTAGATAAATAGGGACCACCTTTGGTGGGAAGGTAACAGCATTCCATGCGCCTTTGGCATTTAGTCATGCCAGCCACATGACCATGAGACATCTTCAGACAGCGCTGGCTCTTCAGCCTTGAAACAGAGATGAGCACCATCCCCTAGAGTAGGGAACAACTAGCATGTATGTGCGAGGGGAACCTTTACCTTTATGCAAGGAGACATTAGGTCCTGAGGGAGGTGCACATGAGATTTGTTAAAAAAATCAATGAGATAAAATATATAAAAGGGCAAGAGATGGTCCACTGAAATTTAAAGAGAAAGAAATTGTGGTTCTAAAACAGATCCCTAGGAGGGTAAGAAATTTACAAAAGCAATACCAATTTCTGGCTGCTAAACTGATTAAAAGAGAATCAAATTTTAGATGGTTGGTACCAGAGGAAATATTAGTGAATTGGGAGGGGAAAAGGTACAGACTGGTTTTTCTAGATAAGGCAACAGAATTCTGATAGTTACATTGTTGCAAATGAGGCTCAAGAAATAGGAGTTGGAACATCAAACACAAGAGGAATCGGGACTTCCGGCTTGTGGTGCTTCGGTGCAGGCAGGATTCCGTGACTCTGCACGGTTTCTGCCTGTGTTCACTGCCTGAGTGCCTCGAGCCATTTGGCTTCGGGGCTAAGCCACCTTTGTAGAAGGTGGTGAAGACTGGGGGATTCTGGCAGGGACGAGAGACATCGCATCTCTCTTCCCTAGCCGGCTAAATCTCCCTCTCCGATGGCAACTGAACGGCGGTCTCTGGCCATTTAGAAGAGCCCAGCCGGGAAAAGGAATGTGCTGGAGGGGTTTGTGAAGAAATGAAACTGATTTTGCTGACCGGGACAAAGGAACAGTGAAAGTATCCTGGTATTTAACACCTACTAAAGACACATTGCTCCCAGACTGAGTAAGCAGCGAATGGATATCAAAGGGAAAACTTTTTTTCTTTTCACTCTCCTTCCAAATGGAACAGCTTTGAGAGAAATCGGAAACCCGCATTGAAGGTATGCTAAATGCTAAAGACTATGCTAATGCCAAAGGGATATGGATTTCTAAATATTTAAAGAAAATTTTTTCTTCTGCTGTGAGTGGGAAGGGAGAGGAAAAAAATTGAAGTAGAAATTGAAAATAAGGAGCAGACTGCCTAGAATTTTAAAGAGCCATTTGAACATTAATAAGACTTCAAAAGACATACTATAATTGGAATTTTGTGATTTAATAGCAACCCCAGAAAAAGAAATGGAAGAAGAGAAAAAGTGCTAAATGAAATAGTCTATCTGGATTGTTTGGTGACTTTGCATCTTTTGGGAAACTTTTTTTTTCTTTGTTTAAAAACACTCGGGTGGTTGTTTTGGGAAAAATTTCTCCTCTTTATAATGGCACCACTTTTGGATGAATTTAAAACTGAATGTCTAAAATATAAAAAGGAAGAACAAGACTGGAAAGATACCTTGGACATTCTTTTTCAATCTCTAGAAATGGCGGTGCATTCCTATAGAATTGATTGCACAGCAGGATAATTGGGACAAAGAAGGAACCATTTTTGATGAACATGTGACCCTATTGGGGGAGAAGAAGGAGGAAGAGGAAAAGGAAAAAGGGATTTTAAAACCTAAAAAAACAACCAAAAAAGATAAAAATGAGTTGAAGGGTAGATATAAGGTTAGAAAACAACAGGAAGGGGGAAAGCACAAGAAGAAAAGGGAGGTGAAAGGGGGAAAAAGGGTAAGGAAAAGAATAAGCAAGGGAGAAAGGAAGGGGTGAGAAGTCTCAATGATGGGAAGCAAGATCTGAAGAAACAAAATTTATTTAGAGACAATGGGTAAACTTAATTGAAAAAGGGATTCTGTAAAGTACATAAGATTGTGTTATTATAGGCATTTATAGAATAAAATGTTTAAGATATAAATATATAAATAAGTATCAATAGGTACGATTAAAATGGTTTTGACAGGGGTATTACCTATATTATATATCTATAAATTTCTTTGTTGTTGTCGTTCTTTCTTTTTTCTTTTTCTTTTTATATAATATATGGTGTGACTTTAGGATGTGCTAAACAGAATCCCAATATAAGTTATGTGTGATATTAAGTATTATTAGGTTAGGGGAAAGAGTTAAAGGCGTCATACTCTAATTAGTGTACAGGAGAGGTTTTGTTTAAAGAGAAAAAATGAATGGATAGCTGAGAACAGACAAAGAATGTTAAATATTATGACTTGAACTGAGATAAGTAGAATAAAACTAAGAGAGTTAAAAAAAGGAAGAAGCTATATAGAAAATGGGAAAAGGTAATAAGATATGGAATGATATATAAAAGGAACATGATTTTTGAAGAGGTGTCTGTACGATGAGTTTTAACCCGGGATCAAGCAACTTTCAGAAAGGATGTTTATGTTTTTATGTTTTATGTCTTGTTTGTTTTTTTTTTATTGGAAGAGAATAATGAAAATGTATAAGACAGATGGATATAAAAAATGTACACAATCTAAAGTTAAAGAGATATAATTTGAATAAACAGAAGGAAAGGAAGTAATAAAGAGAAGTTTGGGATAAGATATGAAGATGAACAGATAAGGTAAATATATATATCAAATTGTGCTTGTTTGGAAATGTGATAACTTGGAATAATTCTGTCTTTAAATAAGATGTTGTATTGGCTTTTTAAGAAAAAAAAACTCTTACGTCATTATATTCTATGTTTTGTTTGTCTGTGTATTGTTTTGGAAAATCAATAAAATTTGTTCAAAAAAAAAAACACAAGAGGAATCAACAGGAGAAGAGAGGAGTATACAACAAGAAGGAGAAGCACAGAGACCAGAATGAGAAGAAGTAAGGGCAAAGGATC